GGATGTTAATGTTTCCTCTGATAATCTTTAACCCCGGGTGGTGGACAGTTTTGTAGAGTTTAACAGTCACGGCTGTGTCTCTGCATCATTTTATTCAGATTTGAGAAATTCAACAATATTTTTCAGTACAAGCTTTAAGGAAATGATTTGGACAGGAGGCTCTGACCAGATTACAGATGTTTGGCTGATTCACTAAACTCGGAGAGGATTTCACAGAAGGCCATAAAACAGACCTAAAGCAACATGAGGATCATCACTGTTGGTTTTTCCAGTCCCTGTGAGGAGGAACATCATGTTTTCCAGGGATGTTCTCAGGTAAATAATCGTGCTAGTGTGCAGAGTTGTTTACAGAAAGGGTTAAAGAAGATTCCACCTGCTAAGGACTCTGTGGTGGCATCAGCCATCTTCCATGGAGCAGCTTAACCATCACTGAGATAGTTAAGCATTTGGAAACAAATCTGTAAAAGTTTAAAAACAATTCACTTGACTTTGTTTCCAAGGTTTGAAGACGTTTCGCTTCCTCTCCAGGAAGCTTTCTCAATTCCAATGTCATTGAGAAAGCTTCCTGGAGCCAGAATGACTGTGAACTGGATGACTGAGAATCTCCAACAGCATTTGGAAGACAAGCTCTGGATGCTCCCTGGATGCAGTGCAGAGTGAGCTGTGGCAATAATAACATCACTTTGGGCAACGTCTCAAAAATCATGCATGAAGCTATGCAAAACTGAAAAGCTCCTTCTATGACAGACTGTTGCATCCTTGATGCACAAAGGAGCATTATCACAGATCCTTCCTCCCAGCAGCTGTCTGAATTTATAACAGCCACTCCTCCCTCCAGAATGTAAGATGCTGTGCAAGTCTTCTGTCTTTTTTATTTTTTGCATGTTTCTGTCATAGGTTTTTTAAGCATTCATTTTCAGGGTAAAGGTTCTTCATGTTCTATTCTAAATGTCTAGACATAACAGATAATAAATAAACTAAGCCTACATCTCTCACCTGAGCTGAGTCACCGCCTCCATCAGCACCAGCAGCGTCTGGTCTGGGGGGCCTCTAAGGAACAGAGGGTCCCACAGCTGTGAGCGCTGCGTGGGGGAGAGAGCGTGCATCCAGTCAGCCTGGAGGTGACCCACCAGAACCCGGAGGGTTCGGCTGTAATGGGCCCTCCGGAACTCCTCCCGCTCAGCTGAGGTGGTGCCGCTTTCGGCTCCATCATCTAGAAAGGAGTTCAGCGTTTTCAACGCTTCAGTAACATCTTTATTATCCGTGGAGGTGGAAAGCGTCCTGAAACACTGGGCCACCTTCAGCCGAACCTCCGAATGGGTCGATCCGAACTCCATTTATGCACGATAGCAGAAAGCATAACCTTCTGTTGAAGAATAGATCCCAACAAAAATACTAACATAAATCATTTAGTGAAATTGAATTTTTTAAATTATAATGTCCGGAAAGTTCAGGTGAAATATTAGCTTAATCGTTTCAATTTGCTATAAGAGACAAACGAGAATAAATTCAATCTAATTAATCAGCCACGAACCCTAAACCCAGCACAGGGAACTTGTTTAGTCATATAGTTACAACACATTTTTTTTTAACCAGCTTATATTTAAGGTTTAACGAAGAGCAACGCGGTAAACCGGAGAGCATTGGAATCCTTGGTGTGCTTCATCAAAATAAGAACGGAATGCTCAATACTTCTCACTTTGGTTCCGCTGAGATGTGATGACTAATTTCCTCGTTAACTTCTGTTCTTATGAGATTATATATATATATATATATATATATATATATATATATATATATATATATATATATATATATATATATATATATATATATATATATATATATATATATATAATTCTTTTTTAAGGAACAAATTTTTTAATCAGCATTTATTTATTCATTTTGACCTTAAGTTTATTGGGTAATGCACACGAGTAGAGCAATGTAGAAAACCATAAAATTACAGCTAATAATTATAACTTAATACACAGATAAATTGTTTCCTGTGCTCTTTTCTAACATGCATGTATATTAAATCCTTTAAAAATCTGTTTTAATACACCATCTACAGTAATTCAAGTGATTTCACTCAAGTGGGTTTAAGATTTTGACTATGCCACTTCAAAATCTTCCTGTTTCATTTCTATGTAGAAGAAGACTAAAGGGGATTTGGGTCATTTGCCTGCTGTGTAAAAGAAATAAGCCTGAACAAGATGCCATGAGTCATGAAAAATCTCAAAAACTCAAAGGTGATTTTATTTATATAGCACATTTAAATAGCAATAAATTCAAAGTGAATTCAAAGTACATGAGGGGGGAAAAACAATTTTATTGGTATTAAGTCAACACAAAGAGAAAAATTAAGTTGTATAACAAAAAGATTTTTTTTTTAAATTGGTGATTATTGGACTCTTGTGGCAAAGCAGCTTATTGAAACACATCCTCCTGAGAATATTTTGTCCAAAATATTGGGGATCATCAAGATGTTTCGAGAAATGTGAGTCTAGAGGGTCATTCCCTGGCATCCATAGTGATTCCAACCTTACCTCTGAAGCAATTTTGCACAGTTTCTTTACAGATGTTTAGATGCTCTCTGTTCCTCTGTAAGCTCTTGGTTTAGGTGTTTATGTTTACTTAACCTGCTGCTCCCGAGAAGGAGCTCCTATGTTTTGTGTGTTATTTGAAGACAATAGTTTTCATTATTGATCTTGAGGCCCAGAACTACAGAAATGCCTTTTGGAAGCCTTTCCAAATTGATGAAGTCAATGGTTTCTACTTCTTCAATGTTTAGAACAGGATATGGGGCATTCATTTTTAGATAATTTAGGATATCATGTTGTTAAACATGTTAAAGTGATTTCTCTATTCTAAAAATGTGACAAATCAGCCAAATGTGGTATGTGGAATTAAATACCTTTTAAAAAATCTCAATACTACATTAAACAAGCAGGCTGGTTACTTTTTTTTGGCATCATGCTAAAACGAATATATATTCCTGTAGTAAACAAATTCATTTGAAAACCACATTTAATTCATTCAGTTTACCTGGGGCCTGTTTCTATAAGGAAGTTCAACCAACTCTGAGTTAAAACTTGAACTCTGAGTTGACTTATCCTGAGATTGGAAACTCTGAGTTTTGGGTTTCAGGACAGCTGAAATGAGTTAGTTCAATCAACCCTAAATTGACTGACTGAATTAAGCGCGTGCACCACAACTATAAAAAGCCATTATCAATGGAGCACAGATATTACGAGTCACCATGGCAACAGCGTCAGACAAAAAAAGGTGTGCAAATTTCTCACCAGCAGAACTGGATGTGCTTATGCAAGCATATGCAGAATTTGAACATGTATTTTAAAAAAAAAAGCAACACGGCTGCAGCGGCGAAGGAGAGAGAGTTAGCTTGGGTGAAAATAGCTGCTCGAGTCAATGTGTAAGTTTACATTTTAATTACTTTTATACAGTGTTGGGTGTAATGAATTAAGTTACTTAAGTCATAAATACTGTAATTAAATTAAAGACTATAAAACAATAGTGGATTTAATATCAAATTTTAAAAGGTATATTTTGATTTGAACTTTCTCCCTCTAGTTACACACTTTGGTCAATTTAAGATTAATTCATGCAATTGAATATTGTTTATTTGAAAGCATTAGAAGTGCAGTTTCTTGTCTCTCCTTGTATTGTTCAAGTTGTTGAGGTTGATTTGGGATTTAGAAAAAGTAATTAATAAGTAAGTAAAACAAATTAGTAAGTAGACCAATACTTTGTAGAGACAGTAATTATTACATTAATCTAATTAGACTTGTTGAAGATAAAATTTGAAGTTAGTAATTAAGAACTATTTTAGAGTAACTTACCCAACTGTTATATCAGAGGTGAAACTGGAAGAACAGTATTTTATTAAACCTAATTTAGTTTTCATGGATAGGTGCAATCCTGCAGGCATCAAAAGAACATTGCAGCAGCTGAAAATGAAATATAAAAACATACTTCAAGCAGGTAAGCCTTGAGCACATCATGGGAGTAGAGTAGCTACCTGGCTTTACAAACAGGATCATCCATAAAAGGACATGCCATTTCATTCCCTTTGATGCGCTCTACGTGACTGAAATGTGTGCAATGAATACTGTATGTCCCCAAAGAATCAATGAGGTGTTTAAACACCACTTCCTCTTTAAAAAAGGGGAGGAGACCAAAATAAACTCCGGATTTTCTGAAGAAAACCTGCTCCCGACCAGGTTAGGTTCACAGAGTAAATTGCCATGGTAACTGACTCTGAGTATAAGTTACCTCTCTTTCAGAAACGGGCTTGACTTACTCTGCTTTCTCAGGTTTAACTTACCTCCCTTTCTGAAACAGAAAACCCAGAGTTTCCCTCATTTCAGGGTTAACAAACTCAGAGTTTTCACTTAACCTCCTTTCTGAAACAGGCCCCTGGTCTTTTTTTCCTTCTGCAATCAGAATCACTGCAACATATTTACAGAATCCTTAACGCAGACATTTGCTGTGCCTCTCCTCAGATCATTAATAGCCTTCACATGGCCAGCCCTTTGAAAAAGTCTAATTGTGTTTATACTGATGAGGAAAACTGATTAACATTCTTTAATGGTTGACAATAAACAGTATTAAATACTCTAACATCTTTAGTAACTCAAATTATTAAATTTGTGCAATAATCAAATTCAACCATTAAACTGTCTCTCACCCTAATGAGGATGTCATCACAGATGATGCAATTTTAACTTTTTTTAAATTGAGACAATTTAGGTTATGAATAATGCAATGTTTACTTCTAACCAGCAGGTAGCGATATTGTCTGAATGCAGTAAGTATGATCACCACTGTGAATGTCTAATCAGTACAGTGATAATGTTGACATAAGCTGATAAAAATAGGAGGATGTAATCATAAACATAAAAGAATAAATTCAGAAAATGGTTATTTTCTGCAACCTTAAATGCCATAAACACAATACAAAAACAAAGAAACACAAGTTCTTTTATTCCATTTATTTATTCTATTCTTACTTCCACTTCTTACCTTAAAATTTTCTCTTTTTACAATAAATGACATTTCCCCAGAAACAGTTAGGAGCTAATCATTTTAGGGACCTCCAAAAATATTATACAGATGTACCCAATACTGTTATAATTTATACATTTATCTCTGAAAATAGGAATAAATTTACTTCTTACAGATTCTCTTTTCTACAGTATTTCTTTCCAACTTCCCATGTTACACAATGTTACACTGTGCACTATTCCAGTGGGGATTCCTTCAGCAAACTTTCTTTGGACATTGGAAGAGTGTCTGAGGGAGACAGAAAAAAGAAAGAAGTCCCACCTAAAAATAAAGTTTATATTTACAGCCGTTATTGTATAATTCAAAAACCAACAGACTTTATCCAGGGCTCATTATTAAAGTTTGAGAAACAGTGTATAGACAACAGCCAGAGAGCCAGAAGCAAACAGCGACAGCTTAGACTCTCAAAACCAACAGGGGGTGTAAGAGCATTTAGCTTGTAAAAGTGAGACTTGCACTAAAACCTGGTCCTGAATCAGTGCAGTCACACTGCAGAGACCTTTCTGAGATCAATATTTTTTTGGTTCAATAGGCCAACTTGTAAATTACTCTAGCAGCGACTGTATTTTGAGGGCCCAAATATCAAACTCTGTTTAAAACCATAGATGGCATCGGACCGGCCCTGCTATCAGAATAGTTTCCAGCAGAGAATCAGTCTTTGGTCATCTTTAAATCAGGATGCCAAGCTGAAGAACGCATCTGATTTGGCATAATACAGCCTTCTTGTGTCTATATCATACTTTTGCTTATAAAAAAGGAGGAATTAAGACATTTGAAAGCTCTTTTTTGTTCTAATAAAAGTCTGCAAGTATTAAGATGTAATCTAATCAACATGAGGTTCCAGATCTCAAACAGTGCCGGTTCTAGTGAGTGAAACTGCCCGCTAAGTCTAACATGTTGATCAGAAATGTACAACAAGAAATCTGTAACCATGCAGTACCTGACCTCATCTGGGAAGACAATGGGGACAGAAAAAAAAGAAAGAAAAAGCCGACTCAGCATTATTGGCATCACAAGGCTAGATCGGGTCAAAGCAACATCCGCATCATGGAAGAGAACATATCTTAATCTGACATCCTGTGCCACTCAGTCAAGCTTTGTGCACACAATTCTTAGATAAACGTTAAGAATAATTTCCCCCACAGATCTGATCAGTGTCAACAAATCTCGGGTGATTTCAATAATGCACAAACATTTTCAGCAGAACAGGTCAGTGTGAGCTGTCGAATAAATATCTGCGTGTAAAATGAAAACCTCTTAGATACTGTACACGCTACATGCTAAAGAGCACAGGCAAATGTTTCTCTGTGTAAGACTAAAGAAATAATTTTTCCTCTGCTGTGACTATAAAAATACCTAGAATCTAGAATGAGTGTAGAAAAAAAAAACATTTTACAAGTCATTTACATCAAAGGCCATTTTTCTCCTCCATGGAGTGGCAAGTGAAGAGCAGTGAGAAAGAGGCGAACAGTGAGAAAAAAAAGAAAAGTATCCAAGAAAAAAATGGTGTCAAAGGTCATGATATAAATCCTTCAAGATGCCAGGACAAATTCCTGACATGCAGGTAGGTATTAGTGTCCAGACAAGATGTTTGCACAGTACCAGTTAGTCCAAAAAATGTCCATGGTGCGCGACGTCTTCCTCAACCAGCAGAGGAAAATGCAGACCCGTTGAAATGATTTCTTACTCAGCGTTATTGCTACAAAAACGTCTTCCATATCTAAGCTAGCTAAATGATCCCAGTAAGATAACTTTTAGAGATGGTTGTAGAATCATCTGGATATGTTTGATTAAAAATGGCGTCATCGTAGTGTGATGTTTTTTTTTTTTTCTCCCGCTCAAACAGCCTCCAGATTCCACAGGCTGTAAAATGTTTCCCAGTTTCTCTTTAGTCTTCATAACACGTCTAATTCAAACCAAAAAAAAAACACATATAGTGCAAAATACAATCAATAAATTCTTCACATACAACTTATCAAATGCCGGCATTTTATAGTTGCAATAACTAAATCATTTTTGCAGGAAAAAAAAAAAAAAACTCAATTCCCTGTTATACTCAGCAAGATAACACTGGGATCAAGTGGGCTTTTCTTTTAAGGAATAGCTCAGAATTAACAAGTTTGAGGTTCTGTTGCTCATGTAAGACATGAACATGAGCAGCTCATATCTTACCTACCGAAGAGTAACTGCATAAGTGTAAATCCAGATCAGTTAGTCTTAGAAGCTACACCGCCATGCAGGGAAGCTCATAAGTGTATCGCCAATGATCTTCCTGCAGGGAACTGTTGCAAAGCTCAAATACAAGATATCCAAGTAAGGCAGTTTATATAGATTTAAAGTTTCTTGCATCGTTTTAGTTTTATATGAGACAGTTCATCTGAACCATGAACCCTCAGATAGCCGTTAGAATTTAGCTTCTTGGAGCAACTTTTTACTAAAATGAAAAACTATCCCAGAATGAGGACTACTGTAGACTTATCTTAACCTTACCTAAAGAATCTGAGTAGATTCCCTCAATGTTAAAAACATTTAGTGTTTTTCCAGCCCACGTGAAACCCAGGACCCTGTTTCATTGCAAAATAACCCAACATCCTACAAGAATGATTGCTTTATATTTTTAGTCCCATTTTAGTGTTGCCTTTCTGATTCACACAAACATAGAAAAAGCAAGGGAATGTCAAACACTCCCAACACACACACACAAAACCCTGCAGGAATTTCTCATCTGGAAGCAGGGAGAAACGTCCCTCACTTAGGTTGGAATGACAGCCGAGCCTGGTGGAAAGCACAGAGCACGCAGAGGGCCGTGTAGGCAGCAAGTCAAGCTCTGAAAACGTTCAAGATAAACAGTTTTTTTTAACAAAAAAACCAGCGCTTCATGCGGCTTGTGATTCAAACACGATTCCACCTGGTTCTGGTGGCCTTTGACTGGGTCACATATCGAGCATTTTGTAAAGTGAAATACTTCAAAAAAAACTCTTAAGGCCTTTTGGTAGAACTAGCTGATGTTTTTAAGCTCAAATCAAAGCTGATTGCAGAAACTGGAGGAAAAATGAGAACAACTTCTTATATTTTCACATGTATCCACACAATGGGGGGGGGGGGACTTGGGTTCCTCTAGCCAGATTCATGGAAGTCACCAGAACCCAAGGGATCTCAGTAGGCCAACATACAAACTGAACAGAAACATGAAAAACAAGCTTATTCTTTATTTTACTGACGGTTTTTTTTACTTCTCAGTCTTTCTCCTTGGAGTTGTGAGCGTTGCAAAGAAGTCCAAATAAATTACTTTTTACATCCCGTCCTCCTTTTCCCTCTTGCCAGGTCTTTATTATAAATATGTTTACAGCCTGTGAGACGGAGCCAGTGGCACCTCCTCAGGCTGTATGCCATCTATTTGACCTCCAGGATAGATGGGTTGGACTCCATGATGGCCACAATAATCTTGTCGATGTAATCCTGGAGTCGATAGTTGATCTCTTCTTGCTTGTGAACAGCCTCCATTAACTAGAAATCCAAAAATAAACAGAAGTCTGTGAGAAACACCAGATTGATTTCTGACTTCCCACTTTGAGAAATTAAGGTTTCTGAAAATTGGTATCTAGACATCTAAGATAAGAGGAAGAAAAAACGTTCCGTTTTCAAAATGAGGAGAAAGTGGCTGAGGTCATTAGCGGTGTCTTTGAAGGACCCAGTCCAGGTAGGCTGGGTCCTTCCAGGTTCATGAAAAGAAGGAGGCCAGAAGAGGTCGGCTATACAGGTGCTGGTCATAAAATTAGAATATCATGAAAAAGTAGATTGATTTCAGTAATTCCATTTAAAAAGTGAAACTTGTATATTATATTCATACATTACATACAAACTCATATATTTCAGATGTTTATTTTGTTTAATTTTGATGATTACAAATGACAACAAATGAAAATCTCAAATTCATCATATCAGAAAATTAGAATATTACTGAAGACCAATAAAAACAAAGGATTTATAGAAATGTTGGCCAACTGAAAAGTATGAACATGAAAAGTATGAGCATGTACAGCACTCAGTATTTAGTTGGGCCTCCTTTGGCCTGTATTACTGCAGCGATGCGGCGTGGCATGGAGTCGATCAGTCTGTGGCACTGCTCAGGTGTTATGATAGCCCAGGTTGCTCTAATAGTGGCTTTTAGCTCTTCTGAATTGTTGGGTCTGGTGTATTGCATCTTCTTCTTCACAATACCCCATAGATTTTCTATGGGGTTAAGGTCAGGAGAGTTTGCTGGCCAATTAAGAACAGGGACACCATGGTCCTTCAACCAGGTACTGGTAGCTTTGGCACTGTGTGCAGGTGCCAAGTCCTGTTGGAAAATGAAATCTGCATCTCCAAAAAGTTGGTCAGCTGCAGGAAGCATGAAGTGCTCTAAAACTTCCTGGTATGTGGCTGCGTTGACCCTGGACCTCAGAAAACACAATGGACCAACACCAGCAGATGACATGGCACCCCAAACCATCACTGACTGTGGAAACTTTACACTGGACTTCAAGCAACGTGGATGAAGTGCCTCTCTTCTTTTCCTCCAGACTCTGGGACCTTGATTTCCAAAGGAAATGCAAAATTTACTTTCATCAGAGAACATGACTTTGGACCACTCACCAGCAGTCCAGTCCTGTTTCTCTTTAGCCCAGGCAAGACGCTTCTGACGCTGTCTGTGGTTCAAGAGTGGCTTGACACAAGGAATGCGACAGCAGAAACCCATGTCTTTCATACGTCTGTGTGTGGTGGTTCTTGAAGCACTCACTCCAGCTGCAGTCCACTCTTTGTGAATCTCCCCCACATTTTTGAATGGGTTTTGTTTCACAATCCTCTCCAGGGTGCGGTTATCTCTCTTGCTTGTACACTTTTTTCGACCACATCTTTTCCTTCCCTTCGCTTCTCTATTAATGTGCTTGGACACTGAGCTCTGTGAACAGCCAGCCTCTTTAGCGATGACCTTTTGTGTCTTGCCCTCCTTGTGCAAGGTGTCGATGGTCGTCTTTTGGACAACTGTCAAGTCAGCAGTCTTCCCCATGATTGTGTAGCCTATAGAACTAGACTGAAAGACCATTTAAAGGCTTTTGCAGGTGGTTTGAGTTAATTAGCTGATTAGAGTGTGGCACCAGGGGCCATCAATTTTGAACCTTTTCACAATATTCTAATTTTCTGATATGATGAATTTGAGATTTTCATTTGTTGTCATTTGTAATCATCAAAATTAAACAAAATAAACATCTGAAATATATGAGTTTGTATGTAATGTATGAATATAATATACAAGTTTCACTTTTTAAATGGAATTACTGAAATCAATCTACTTTTTCATGATATTCTAATTTTATGACCAGCACCTGTAGATTCAAGAAGGTTCAGCCTTCTCTGGTTTTCCGCCGCCCCTCACTCAGCGTATGATCTGTTACCTAGCAACCGTGAACGTTTATTCATAAAGCTGGCAAAGAGTGGATTCCAAACTTCTCATTACTGTTCTGTGTGCCAATTACATTTCTGAGGAGCTTCAGAAGCAGCACCGTCCTCACGGATATGAGACTATAGGTTTGTTTGGTAAACTTACCTCTGCTCGAGACACAGAGTTAATCTCAGCTGCCAGGGAATCTGAGAAGGAGGCAGACATCAAATTCTTGGCTCCCTGGATGCTCAGGTTGATGATTTGCCCGTTCAATTCATCATTCTGCTCTTTCAGAGTTCGGTTGTCCTAAAAATAAGAGTCAAATTTTAAAACAACCCAGACTAAAGTAGAACATTAAGAAAAATAATTTAAACAGATGGTGGGGGGGGGGCGGATTATTACCTGTTTGAGTCGTTTGATCTCCTGTTCCAGCTCTGCTTCACGGGTTCGGGTCTGATACTCCTGCAGCCCGGCGCTGAGGGATCGACCTCGCTTCGCCTCCGCCTCCAGCTTGTACAGCTGAAGATGCTCAAGCTGCTTCCTCAGGTCTTCTATAAGCTGAGGTACAAATGCATCAAAAGGAAAGAAGAAAATAATCTTATGACGCTTTAAAATGCACTAATATCCAACAGATATAACAGTTTTGCATCAAAGTGTATTTATGGTTTTTCTTTTCACAGGGAAAAGCCTCTCACCTCCTGAGTGCTCTCCTTCTCCTTCTGGTTTTGATGACGCTCGTGACTCAGCTTGTCAGCCATCTTCCTGCGAGATTCGGTCTCCTCATCCAATCTGTCAGACATCGTTTCCACCTCATCCTGGAGTTTTCTTTTCTCCTAAAAAATTAAGAAAAATTATAAAAATAAACAGGGTAGCAGGGGAAAGAGAAACGGAAACAGACTATTCAGAATAAGTAATACGCAAAGGTAGAAATTAAAAAAAAGAAACTCATGGTTTACCTCCTCTAATCTCTCGATGTTTGCTCGAAGACAAGGGACACACGACCTCAGTTCGCTGTTCTCATCATCCAGCTGTTGGAGCCTAAGTAACAGACAGATGTTCCTTGTTTTTAGAAGCACGTCTAATTAGCAAAGAGCCTGAATGCATTAAACTGGTTAAACGCTAATTCAGCAGCATGCTTCAAACCATTTAAACTAAATTAACTCAAAACAATCAGTCAAATTGAACATTTTTTCTAGTCTTCTTGCCTCCTCACCTGGCCTGGAGGTTTTCCAGCTCCAGCCCCTTCTCCCTCTCCAGCTTGTTCAAGGACTCCTTGTGACGTCGGGTCTCCTGCTGCAGCTCCTCATCAGCTTGGAGCTCCTGCTCTTTCAGCTGCTCTTCCAGGGCGTTGGCCCGATGCACCAGCTGGAGATTCTCCTGACGCAGCCGAGCATGCTGCTCTCCCGAAGCCTCAGACTCCTTCTCCAGCTCGGCTACTCGGCGCTCCAGGAGCAGGACCTGAAAAAGATGGATGCTTATGGTCACCAGAATTAAAAGGTGATTTGTTGCATAAACAAACATGTCCTTAAAGTGCATCTGAGAAACTTCTGAAGCATAACTGGGCTCCATTCTGCTTGTTTACTTTGTCTGTGATGTCATTATCAGCGAGCTCCAGGATGTCCCGTGTTAAGTCACTCATGGTGTCCAGAGTCATTGAGCTGTTTTGGAGCAGATGCCTGAGTGCAAAGAAAGAAAAACAGAGGTCACTGAAGTGTTAACAAAACCCTGATAAGCTGCAGATTTCAGATGGCATCACGGATGCAAATACTTCTCCTCTACAGAAATGAGAGCGTTTCATTTACCTCGCCACCTTCTTGCTGGAAAGCCTCTTGCCGGCACTAAATTAGGACAGACAGACCAACAGGAAAAAAAGTTAGGAAAAGATGACTCCTCTAAAGCCATCGTCGACGGAGGTTCAGTAACTTAAAATACACAGCAGTCCAACAAACATAGCAGCAGCATGGTTTAAAAAGTTTTAGAAAGCACTTCTGTTGGAGCAGCTTTGCATGACAGGATTTACAGTAACAAAATAAAAGCAGCAAACTTTCAAATATAATTTTAGGAATCGGAAAGAAGATTAAAAACTAAAAGCCTTCTTCTGTTTATTAATGTCACCAACAGGGTTCATTTAAAGCTTTAATATTTTTACTCCATCATTTCAAGGACTTTTACAATCCCTGCTGTGACTTTACTACTGGGTCCAAAAGACCAAGATCCACTTACTGCAGATACAGGTGCTGGTCATAAAATTAGAATATCATGAAAAAGTAGATTGATTTCAGTAATTCCATTTAAAAAGTGAAACTTGTATATTATATTCATACATTACATACAAACTCATATTTCAGATGTTTATTTTGTTTAATTTTGATGATTACAAATGACAACAAATGAAAATCTCAAATTCATCATATCAGAAAATTAGAATATTACTGAAGACCAATAAAAACAAAGGATTTATAGAAATGTTGGCCAACTGAAAAGTATGAACATGAAAAGTATGAGCATGTACAGCACTCAGTATTTAGTTGGGCCTCCTTTGGCCTGTATTACTGCAGCAATGCGGCGTGGCATGGAGTCGATCAGTCTGTGGCACTGCTCAGGTGTTATGATAGCCCAGGTTGCTCTAATAGTGGCTTTTAGCTCTTCTGAATTGTTGGGTCTGGTGTATTGCATCTTCTTCTTCAAAATACCCCATAGATTTTCTATGGGGTTAAGGTCAGGAGAGTTTGCTGGCCAATTAAGAACAGGGATACCATGGTCCTTCAACCAGGTACTGGTAGCTTTGGCACTGTGTGCAGGTGCCAAGTCCTGTTGGAAAATGAAATCTGCATCTCCAAAAAGTTGGTCAGCTGCAGGAAGCATGAAATGCTCTAAAACTTCCTGGTATGTGGCTGCGTTGACCCTGGACCTCAGAAAACACAATGGACCAACACCAGCAGATGACATGGCACCCCAAACCATCACTGACTGTGGAAACTTTACACTGGACTTCAAGCAACGTGGATGAAGTGCCTCTCTTCTTTTCCTCCAGACTCTGGGACCTTGATTTCCAAAGGAAATGCAAAATTTACTTTCATCAGAGAACATGACTTTGGACCACTCACCAGCAGTCCAGTCCTGTTTCTCTTTAGCCCAGGCAAGACGCTTCTGACGCTGTCTGTGGTTCAAGAGTGGCTTGACACAAGGAATGCGACAGCAGAAACCCATGTCTTTCATACGTCTGTGTGTGGTGGTTCTTGAAGCACTCACTCCAGCTGCAGTCCACTCTTTGTGAATCTCCCCCACATTTTTGAAGGGGTTTTGTTTCACAATCCTCTCCAGGGTGCGGTTATCTCTCTTGCTTGTACACTTTTTTCGACCACATCTTTTCCTTCCCTTCGCCTCTCTATTAATGTGCTTGGACACTGAGCTCTGTGAACAGCCAGCCTCTTTAGCGATAACCTTTTGTGTCTTGCCCTCCTTGTGCAAGGTGTCGATGGTCGTCTTTTGGACAACTGTCAAGTCAGCAGTCTTCCCCATGATTGTGTAGCCTATAGAACTAGACTGAAAGACTTTTGCAGGTGGTTTGAGTTAATTAGCTGATTAGAGTGTGGCACCAGGGGCCATCAATTTTGAACCTTTTCACAATATTCTAATTTTCTGATATGATGAATTTGAGATTTTCATTTGTTGTCATTTGTAATCATCAAAATTAAACAAAATAAACATCTGAAATATATGAGTTTGTATGTAATGTATGAATATAATATACAAGTTTCACTTTTTAAATGGAATTACTGAAATCAATCTACTTTTTCATGATATTCTAATTTTATGACCAGCACCTGTATTTAAGAAACAAAATCAAAGAACTTTAAAAAAAAAAAAAAAAAAAAAAAAAAAAAAGGAAGACTGTAGGGCAGAAGAAGGAAGGAAGCAAGGAACTAGGAGGCACAAGAGAGTAAGGAAAGAATCAAGAAGTAATATATAAACAAAAACATTAAAAAACAAAACAACGACGGAAGTAAAAGGATAAAGAAAAATGAAGCAAGGAGACAGAGTTTAGAGGAAGAAAACCTGGAAACAAAAATGGAAAAGCAGGAAGGAAAAAATATAAATAGGTAATTTATAAAAAAAAAAACATTGAGGGAGAAAAACAAAACAAAAAAAAAGGAACAAACTATATTCCAACAATGGAATTTGGAAAGTAGAATTTGAAGATAGTCTTTGGGAACACTAAACCAAGTTTCTGCAAAAAAAAATAAAAAATTAAAAAAGTCCCAGTCCCTTCAATCCAAGCTCATCAAATCTGCTCCAATAAAGCTTCTGTTAAATATTTAAGTCAGAAATCAGTCAAAAACTCACAAAAAATAAAAAGAAAACCCAAAAACCTACCTTTAGAACAAATTTAATATGAAAAATAAGACAGAATGGTAAAAAAAAAAATTGCTTCATTACAAGAAACAAACTAAACAGGGTTTGTACAACCCCACTTCCACTCCATACCAGTTTATGTACTGAACATAAAAACTGAAAGCTGCAAAGAAAAGGCCTGAATGGGAAGATGAGTGCCATCTGTACTGGAGATTGGTCTGTACAATAAAGCAATGTGTGTGCAAGTACATGCCACCAAAACAAACGTATCTCTAGTTCTTTACAACATGCACACATCAAGAGGACATGCGTGATACTGTGTCTAATCAGCACTGTACAGACAATCACACAGCTCCTAATCACAGCAGGGGGTGCACAGCGTGTTACCTAGTCATCTCTAGGAAATTGAGGCGAGTGGAGAGGTCTTCGAGACGACTTATTTGTTTGTGACACTGGCTACAGAAAAAGTCCAGAGCCTCCTCCCTGAGGAAGCTCTGAAAGCAGTCAGGGAGAGAAGCGGGTGCGCTGGAAAGAGGAAGGAAAGAGGAGGAGGTTGTGGTGAGTGACAGACAAGTAGAGGTGGGGGTGCATTCAGGTGTGATAGGAGGTCCCCAAACAGGAGAGCCTGAAACAGTTAAAGTGAAAGGAGACATGAAACAGAGAAAATCGGCTGTGGTTTGTGTTCTGGACAATGTAAGGAAACCAGACGTTCCTGAGATAAAAAGTAGGAGGATTACTGGAGTGATAAGTGTGTTTTTATCCATCGATTCATAGTCTGATCCGAGTTCCCTAACCCCCCCCCCCCCCCCACACACACACACACACATCACAGAGTCTATCCCCACAAGGAAGGAACGTTTTGGTAAATGGTGGTAGGACAGAACAGAAGGAACCCAGCAGTGTTTGCACATGTCCTCAGAGCTGGAATAAGCGTGGGTGTGTGTGGGAGCAGTGCTGCTACATGCACAGCAGTGAGAATGAGTGTATCACAACGGTGACGCATTCACACCGAGTGGGTGAAGCCTGTGGAATGCTTGTTTTTATGGTAGGTTTTTTTACCTCACAAACTAGCCAAAGAATTTAATGATCAAACTTTTTGGGGGGCTTTTGAAAACATATTTGGACTGCTCCTTTATTCAATGGTTGAATAATTAAATGATATTAATCTTCAATCTTTTTTAAAACAAACAACTTGGTTGGATTTTGTTGAGGAAATTGTGATCCCCTCAGAGTCAGCAACTTACCAAGAGACTTGAATAAAAAAATTCATCCGTACTTTTATTTGGCTAAATGTTCTTTGAGTTGGAGTCAAAATTTAAAAAATTTTAAACTATAAACATAGTTCCGGATGGATCTGTGACCATTTTCTTGGCAGATTGGTTCCTGACATTTCAACTACAGGAGAAATTCCAGAGACCTACAGCTAGCCTACTTTGTCTACATCAAAGCTAGTATGAAGTTTCTTTGAGGATAATTGTTGTATTATTTTTGATCTGTATAAATTTTAACCGCCTGTCACAGCGACATGTTTGAAAAACTCAAGATGAGGCTTTCAAATATCCGACTGTACCAACAGAAAAGCACGGTGGTGGCAGAGACTAGTTATTCTTATCCAACAAAGACACAGCAAGACACAAGTGTTATTTAAAAGCTGGCACAAATTGACCTGCCAATATCTAGAAAAAGATGAGCTTTTTAGAAAAGCTTGCTTGGTGGTAAGACTCGGGACTGAACAGGCTAAATGATCCAAATCTGAATTTTATTCAAAGACTCAATGAGGCTCTGATGACAACAAGGATTTCAACAAACCACAGAACGAACAAAGACGGCATAGAGTAAGATTTCAAAGCAATTTCCAAGAAAGTGTGATTAGCAACAATCCCGTTACAGCAGCTTATTCCTGTATGATTAGGGGGGCTACAACAACCAGACATTTGGTCATTTAGAGTTTCCCAGCAAGATAGATGTGAGAAAGATCATCCAAGTGGGAATTATGTATAATATGGCTTACAGGCTAAGAAACAAAAGAAAAGCGAGGGAGAAGATTGGGTCAGAAACAGCTAGAATAAAAGATAATTTAAAATTAAATGTAATCATGTTTCCTTTTCAGTATATTTGTTTTCAGCAGACAGATGACAGCATGTCTCTGAATCTATATCAGAGAAAACCAAATGGTCCCTGTCGTTGGTTCCAAACTATAACGGATATACAATCTAACGGTGACTTAATTTATTACTGGAACCATAACAGAAAATCTAAAACAGGATAGTTAAAAACTTCAACACGTTTCTGCTTTCTCAGCATTTCCAGATGGGATAAGTCTAAGGTCTCTCAGTCCTGCTGGGCATTGGGCAGAAAAGAGTAGGAGGATTGTTTCTGGGAAGATCTTATCTACATTTGACATTGGAATTTTTGCTGAAACAGAAACATTCTTTTCCTCAGAGGAACATCAGGAAACATCCTAGGTTGGACATTGCAGCTGGGAATGCGACAGTGTTGCACCTCTTATCAGTGAGGATGACAAAAAATGTGTCATTTTTCAACCCGGTGGAAAAATACGTCTTCATAAGTCTAACCTTTTCTGTGTTTCAAATTAAAAATGGCATCCTGTTCTGGCAATTGCGGCAGTCTAAACCAGCCTCATACCTGGGAGAAACGACAGCCGAGCCATTGCTCTGCTCCGGCGGCTGGGAGAGAGAGGAGTCCCCCTCTACCATGGAGCCTTCCACACTGCTTTCCAGCAGAAGCTCTGATGTGTTGCTCTCCCCAAAGTCCTCAAAGTGTTCCTCCTCTCCACTGATGACCGTCACTGAGTGGCTGTGGAGCTCCGAGTTCAGGGAAAACCTGGGGAGGAGGCAATGGATAAATTAGATTAAACGACAAATGTGATCGAAAGTGGAGCGTTTTTAAAAATGCAGACCTGCGTTCACAGTAACTCATCAAATTAAGCAACAAGGTCAGGTATTTACACCCCAAAGTCTTTCCACATTAAGTCGATCTTATTTGTTGGTGTACTGCCAAGAAACCAAAGTAGCACTTCACCATGAACTGTATAAAGAAAATATTAGTGGAATGGATCTCAGTTTAGTGTGGTACCATGTCTAGATGTACAAACCTGGCTGATGATTCTTATAAATAAAAACCTCAAGATTTGTTTTCAACCAAATCCAATGAATAGACGTTTTTCTCCCTCAAGTTTCCTTATAAAAATAACAAATGACCTACGTTACTTTCAAAAACTACATTTTGCTTTAATCTTCTCCTCTGGGAGGTGAAACTAAAACCGTTTAAAATGTTTAAAACAAAAACAATATTAGAAAACAGCACCAAATGTTCGCCACTAGTGGCATTACGCAGCTAGTAGTACACATCAAAGAACCAAAAGCGTTGAATGGAATTCACTGAGCTACGGAAGCCCAAAGAGTGCAAAAAAAAAAAAAACAATTGAATCCAACCCTAAAGAAATGTATCTTAATAAACAGAATATTTGATCAATTGTCCAGCCCTACCTGGTAGAGACATAAAATACCTGGAGATGTAGAGAAAGGTTCAGAACAGACTCATGGGAGCTAAAACCTCTGCAGACCACAGTGTTAATAGAGAGAAAACTTTATTTAGGTTCAGCAACTTTGGAATGGTCAGGTTTAAGACTAAAAACCAGACGAGTAGAAATAATCTTTCCCAGGAACAGCAGCGATCTGTCCCATAGCTCCTCTTTTAAGGTAATCTGTTAATTCAAACTAATCCAATGGGCTCCTTCAGTCTGCCACTTTTTTTTGTAAATCTCAACCTTTGTGATCACAGTAAAATAATCTGATCTAGTTGAGTTTAGGGTCAGTGGTTATGGGGGTAGAGGTTTGTTCAGTGAGTCTATAGTGCATTATATATACACACATTACAAGTACAGGATATTTAAAATTGGTGTAGATTGAAACTAAAAAGTGACTCCTTATAAAAGCTGATGTGTACTTTAAAATGAACATCACCCCTGTACGAGTTAGAAGAGGTTCAATAAAGATCAATTCATCAGTTCATTGTTTTTCATTTTCTGAGGAAATTTTAAAACCCATGCAGGATGAGAACGTCAAAAATCAGAAAAAATATTTTGAAAATACAAAAAAATATTTTCTCAACATGAGTCACTTTCTTTGCCAATAATGTAACAAATTTAATAGATTAAAACTAGTTTGATTAGTAACAGTCAGCAACACTGCCACTTACCCTCTACCCATTGTCTTACCACTGGGCCCCACACTGAGGTCCCTCACGCTGAGGGCCGGTGAGGAGTGAGAACGCATCTTTGAACGCCCTCCGCTGCCCTGGCGTGAAAGCCTCGGGGCAACGGGAGTCAAAACTCCTGACAGCCAGAGTGGAATCCTGAAGTCTCACAGGTCACAGCAATAAGAAGGAAATCATCAACTCTCCTGTTGGAGACGACTGAACGACCAGGCTGCTACATGAAGGATGTGTCCAGAACAAAGATTTGAGGCTGTAGCGGCGAAGGCTTCACCGATTGTCTTAATCAGATTTGAGGCTAAGTGATAACCAATAGACAGTCCTGCTGACTGTCCCCGGGGCCAAATGAGTGTGTGTGGGGACACACCGTTAGGACAGTGGAGGGAGGAGGGACTAATCCTGTTAGATTGCTAATCCTGAGCTCAGTGCATATACTCCTATTTGTAATACCTCTCTGAATGTTGTTAGTTCATCTAACAAGGCTCCATGGTTGAACTTCGCATTTGTTCATCAGTTGGAGGAAAAGTTTTCACATAAGCATTTTTCCCCATTTCCCAAAAGTGGCTGCCATGTATTCAGCCCCTCTGAGTCGATACTTGGCAGCAGAACCTTTGTGAACATCAGACCTTCGTAACATGCGAGTACATTTTCATCCAATCCACTGTATCGTAGCATTCAATCTTAATAAAACTTACTGATGTTTGTAACATAAATGAATGTGAAAAACGTCAGGAAGTATGAAGTGCTTCCGATTCAAGACTGAAACCGACAAAGCTGCTGAAACAACAAAAGCTCAGACCTTCCAGTGAGAAGCGTTTGGTAAACAGGCTGCTGGAAAGAGAGCAGTATGATGGTTCAATTCCAGGGAGCAGTGGCAGACCTCGCAGGTCCAAATATTAGTAAATAGGAGAGGAATAAAGAAGATTAGCTTTTGCCAGAGTGTGACAAAAAAAAAAAAAAAAAAAGCCAAATCAACACTTCCTGGAATTCAAGGCTCACACATGGAATGGGAAGTCCAAACACATCCCTGTCGAGCAGACCACTGCAATCTGTCAGGAGGCCGGACAGACAGGTCACACAGTCAGCAGATAGCGGGTACACCGCACTTCCTCCTGATGCTGAACAAAACAACTCCATCAGCCCCTTCACCCATATGCTGACCAAAAAAAAAAAAAAAAAGCAAGGCAGTCAATCTACGAAGGCTAACATACTAAACACTAACGCACTCATGTAATTTTGAATTGACATCATTTAAGCAGCGTTCCAACAGCTCTGCGTAAAACCCTAAACTCAGTAAAGACTTTTGAAAAACTTCTGAGGTTCTGGTAAAATATGTTCTGATCGACTATAAAACTAGTGACCAAATAAAAAGGCTGTAATATATTAATGCAAGCATCTACAGATCAGAGCACACAGGGGAATTAAGTCAATATATTGTTGGCAGTCTCCTGCCTTGGTTTTATCTGTCCAGTGACCCAAATAGAACTAAAGTGATCCTGGATCGGGCCTGCAGTCATAAGTCGTGTTATCTGGTGTAAAAGGTCAGAGCTGAGAAGCTGCAGAGCAAGCCTTCAGCTGGAGATTACAAGACAGAACGTTTGCATCTCATGCGGCCAGCAGGGATTCTACAGCAAGCTTCAGCCGCTTTCAACAAGCAAAACTAGATCAAAATCTAGAACACCAAAAACAAATAGAGTCATTTACAGTGGTTTCATACAGACCTGCTGCCACCATCCTCAGGATCATGCAGCGTGGCTTCGATGCCGCTGTCCGTCTCCACCTCCTCGTGCATCTCAGGAGGAACAAGAGCCCCCGTGTCTTCATCGGTGAAGGTTTCACACTCGCTGTATGTGCTCTCTGAGCCCAGGTATGCGCTGTCTGTTACCTCATTTTGCTGCAGAAACAGTGATCAGAAACATTGAATCAGTGGATTACTAAATAGTGTTTTTACAATTATTTACACATAATTTGTAAAAAGATCAGATTTTCTGGACCAATCCAGGCCAATATGAATTCCTCATTGGCCCTTTTTGATGTTTGATGTTCTGACAAACACTTTTAAACTTGCATATGTTTTATTTTAGTGAGTGTTAGAGTTATACAGGTTATTGACTCCATCTATAGAAGGAAAACAAAGACTTTAGTTTTGATTAATTTATTAAAGTTGTTAATTTCAAATTAAGCCCTTCAATGCTGTTAAAATCCTCCTTTCTTTGACAAACTTTTTCGGTTTGGATCGATTAAGAAAAGTTAATATATCATGGTGTCTGAAGTCATACACCGGCAGTGGATATAGACACAGGTTAAGCCGATTATCAAACAAACCTTCAGCAGGTTGTTCTTCAGAGGGAAGCTCAGAGCAAAACCTTAACACCTCTAGGCAAAAAGTTCAAACAACAACTGCAAGGTGTCGCCTGACCAACCGACTAATGCCAGAAGCTAAATACTGACTGATGGCCAAAAGCACTGGAAGCAACTACAGACGGATCCTCCAGTATAAGGAATGAATCAAAAACCTACCAGTTTGCTTGAAGTACCAGAAGAACCAGGGCTCAAAGGGAGGTCCACAATATCCAGAATCATTCTCTGTCCAGTTTTACCAACCAAATAAATCCTAACAAAGCTTCTTTACCTTCCCCTCCCAGAGAGTGACTGAGCATAGACGATAAAAAAATAAAAATAAAATAAAGAACAGACAACCCTGTCACACCTCGTTCAGCTCCACTGGGTGGTCAGAGGGTGGAGACTGGAACAAAGTCCAAAGACTAACACAAGTCAGCTGCAGCATTATATCAACTCCTGCCAGCTTCTGGCCCAATCAGCTGGATGGCTGTTTAATCTTCCCTGCTGCTACACTTCCAGGTCGCCCGCTGATATAAATCATTAAGCCTTGTTCTGAATGAGGACCATACGTCCCACTGACCAGTCTGATCATTGCTGTGCACCCAAAAAATACATATAATACCTAAACAATATGCTTTAAAGCTGTGAGAGGTAGTGCAGAGCACAGTGGTGTGTATTATTCAAATAACAGATGCTGGTTATTTTACTAAGTGGCATTTTCAAAAGTACAGTGACATTATTTTTCCTCTCCATCTTAACATGTGAACATGGAAGGAAAGAACGCGCTCGGTGAGGCTTTCCCGCTACGCTTCTGAACACACTCACCTTGCTGTTTTGAAAGCAAACAGCAACAGAACAGCTCAGCCATTGACAGCGAAGCCCTTCGTCTGCCAAAAAAAAAAAAAAAAAAAAAGCAAGGCCGCGAACACAGGTGTGGGCTGTACTTCAAAAGTTTAGAAGCTTCTTAAAAACTCTGATGTGTTCTGGTAAATAGCAACCTGAGCAGCTGGAACATTTACAGAGGAGCACAACATCATACACAACGGGGTGTGCCACATTTTTAGTTTGCACTCCAATAAATTTTATTTTAGTTAAACAGAAACAACCTGCTTTGAACGATCCTGATTAAAGCGTGTATCTAATAAACGCCAAGTTCTTCTGAGAAAAACAGAATGTTGCGCCTGATAAAAACTGAATATTTTAACCACAAAAACGTTCTGTTATAATCCACAATCATCTGGAAGTCTGTGGATCATTTCTAGATAAGTTGGGTGTATCCAAGCATTTAAACGAAATGAGTGAAAGTTTCATGAACAGCAGAGAGAGTTGCAACCTTTGGAAGATAGCTCTTCAAGCGTGGAGATAAAATGATCAGTCCGAGCTTTAAGAGCCACAACACGTCCAGGCCAACTGTAGTAATGGAAAAGAGGAGAAGAACAGCATCCAAGTGTCATCGGGCGTAGTTAGAAATGTTGTTCTTCAAATCGTCAGTGGGTGTAGAAACTTCTAACGTTGCTGATCCACTGGGCTTCATCAAACCAGTCAGAATGCCTGACTACCAGTATTAGCATTATAACCCGTCATGCTTCCTTTTAATGAAAAATAGAGAATATTTCATTTTCCACCAGGATTTGGTACCAACAAATGCTTCAATCACCATAGTAACGCCAGCGAATTGACCCGACTGAAACCCAGCTGAGCATTACTAATAAAGCAACCTGGGTTTTCTAAACACATCAGCAGAATGAGAACCATTATTATATAAGCTGATCACCCGAATAACATGCTGCACTTTAGTCTTTATTTCGGAAAAAACATTCTCGTAATGGTTCATTATGTACATTTTTGAAACGTTAATGTTTTTATTTGCTCTGAGTATTGCATTAAATTTAAAATATTTATGCAAACTAAATCTATGAATTAAAAAAGGTCCTGATTTGACATAATTTGCTGAGAAATTCTAGTTATGGGTCTCAAAGTGAGAAACAATTAATAGTTATTATCCAAGAAACATACAAAATGAACAGGTATAATGGGGTATTCAGCAGAAGATATGCTATATACACTTCAAATTTAAAATGTTGATATCAGCAACAGAAAAATAAGATTAAATGCAGATGATCAGCAATGCACATTTTTAACAAAAATTGAAATCTTTAAACTTTTTCTAACGGTTCCAGGCTGAGGTTGGAAAAGAATTTACAGAGTTGCAGTTCAAACTGATGACGACAGGGGGCAGCAGCACCATGGAGAGTTAAGCCACTAAAAACAGGTCACAACAACTCACTAAGAACAGGAGAGCAGAAACTTATATCCCTGAAGAAGCCAGCAATAATCCAGGTTAAATATACAGGTTTTTGCACACAAGAGGAAGCAGGAATTCCAGCTATGTTATCCACAACTGTAAAAACACTTTCAGAAGCTGCACATTCTTGCCAGTTCAGCTTTTTTCAAGGAATACACAGAGGCTCGACTTCCAGTTGGTATTCAGTGTCGGGAAAACCCGCATGTTCATTCTGCGGAGCCCTCAGAGGGGTAATGATAGCCCTGAAAGTCGCTCGGTGAATTACAGCAGGCAGAATCAAGAGTGCACAGGGAGTTCAGCCCATGGCCTACACACGCTGTAGGTACCTCTGGGAAATAAGACCTGGAGATGGCTCACCTCGTCGTACTCCTCCGGACAGCCCACGGCTCCGTCCCCTGGAGTGTAGCTGTAGAGCGGTGGTTCTGGGCCTGGTGATATGAGTGGAGGGAAGCAGGTTTAATGTGTGCAGAATCAACAGAGTCAAACCGTAAAAGAGGCTAAGCAAACATAGGGACCGGTTGTTGATGTGCAAACAGGTAATATGAAGACAGGAGAGTGTTCTAGTCCAGAATCCTAGACTGTTTACTTTCTGTTTGTTATTAAACATAAGAGAAAAGCATTAAAGGCAGCAGAACATATTTTAAAACTTCTGTCTCTTTAAATATGCTTCATCTTTAGCCCATAATACACACACCTACATTTTGCCCTGCCATCTTTGTGAGGACTTTGCTTTGAACTGTTTTTATTCACATTCACATTTCATTTTTAATGGCCAGACCCCTACTCTACCCTTTATCAACATAAATCCAACCTTAAAGCTAACTAAGTTTTCATGTGGACCAGTTGAAAAACAAAAAACAAAAAAATTTAAAATGTCCTGTATGTTTTGGAGCCATCATATTCAATTTAAACCTTTATATTTGTCAACAGCTTTTCTCTCCACCATGAAAATATTGCTAAATATTTCTGAAATGCTTTCTTTAGTGATCTCAACTAGTATGCAAGCAATAAATTTACTGCCATGTTAAAGTAGTCACACGCTTTGCAGTTTGCCACTTTACAGGTGCTGGTCATAAAATTAGAATATCATGAAAAAGTAGATTGATTTCAGTAATTCCATTTAAAAAGTGAAACTTGTATATTATATTCATACATTACATACAAACACATATATTTCAGATGTTTATTTTGTTTAATTTTGATGATTACAAATGACAACAAATGAAAATCTCAAATTCATCATATCAGAAAATTAGAATATTACTGAAGACCAATAAAAACAAAGGATTTATAGAAATGTTGGCCAACTGAAAAGTATGAACATGAAAAGTATGAGCATGTACAGCACTCAGTATTTAGTTGGGCCTCCTTTGGCCTGTATTACTGCAGCAATGCGGCGTGGCATGGAGTCGATCAGTCTGTGGCACTGCTCAGGTGTTATGATAGCCCAGGTTGCTCTAATAGTGGCTTTTAGCTCTTCTGAATTGTTGGGTCTGGTGTATTGCATCTTCTTCTTCAAAATACCCCATAGATTTTCTATGGGGTTAAGGTCAGGAGAGTTTGCTGGCCAATTAAGAACAGGGATACCATGGTCCTTCAACCAGGTACTGGTAGCTTTGGCACTGTGTGCAGGTGCCAAGTCCTGTTGGAAAATGAAATCTGCATCTCCAAAAAGTTGGTCAGCTGCAGGAAGCATGAAGTGCTCTAAAACTTCCTGGTATGTGGCTGCGTTGACCCTGGACCTCAGAAAACACAATGGACCAACACCAGCAGATGACATGGCACCCCAAACCATCACTGACTGTGGAAACTTTACACTGGACTTCAAGCAACGTGGATGAAGTGCCTCTCTTCTTTTCCTCCAGACTCTGGGACCTTGATTTCCAAAGGAAATGCAAAATTTACTTTCATCAGAGAACATGACTTTGGACCACTCACCAGCAGTCCAGTCCTGTTTCTCTTTAGACGCTTCTGACGCTGTCTGTGGTTCAAGAGTGGCTTGACACAAGGAATGCGACAGCAGAAACCCATGTCTTTCATACGTCTGTGTGTGGTGGTTCTTGAAGCACTCACTCCAGCTGCAGTCCACTCTTTGTGAATCTCCCCCACATTTTTGAATGGGTTTTGTTTCACAATCCTCTCCAGGGTGCGGTTATCTCTCTTGCTTGTACACTTTTTTCGACCACATCTTTTCCTTCCCTTCGCCTCTCTATTAATGTGCTTGGACACTGAGCTCTGTGAACAGCCAGCCTCTTTAGCGATGACCTTTTGTGTCTTGCCCTCCTTGTGCAAGGTGTCGATGGTCGTCTTTTGGACAACTGTCAAGTCAGCAGTCTTCCCCATGATTGTGTAGCCTATAGAACTAGACTGAAAGAACATTTAAAGGCTTTTGCAGGTGGTTTGAGTTAATTAGCTGATTAGAGTGTGGCACCAGGGGCCATCAATTTTGAACCTTTTCACAATATTCTAATTTTCTGATATGATGAATTTGAGATTTTCATTTGTTGTCATTTGTAATCATCAAAATTAAACAAAATAAACATCTGAAATATATGAGTTTGTATGTAATGTATGAATATAATATACAAGTTTCACTTTTTAAATGGAATTACTGAAATCAATCTACTTTTTCATGATATTCTAATTTTATGACCAGCACCTGTATAACCCTGAATGTTATTGGATCTACCGAGTTCCTGGTAGCAAAAGACAAACACTTGAAAATCTGCAGAGCAGGTTCATCTTTTTGCAAAGCTTTAATCCTAAGCGTACAGCACGGGTTACAGTAGAATGTGATGTTAAAATGACCCTGGCAAAGCCTAAATCTGACGATATCGACAGGGTGTTAATTTTTCATTAAAGACGCTATCCTTCCCATCTGAGAATTAGCTGGTTTGTAAAAAAGAAAAAAAAACCCACAGAAAACAAAAAAAAAAAAAAAAAAAAACAGAAAAAAAAAAAAAAAAAAAAAAAAAGTTAATGTAGAGTACACTTATTGAGGTTAATGGGAAAAAAATGTTTTAAAACAATTTCCTTTCACATTATTATGCAAACCTTTATGCAGGTCCATTGCATTAAATAGCAAATAAACACACTGAAGTTTTGGGCTGTAATGTGAAAAGGCCACCATGAACACTTTACAACACACTGTAATAGGTTGGGTACTAAAAGTCTTACTTGACATATTTACAGTCGGCAGCATGACGGCAAACCTTTTATAACTTTTATGTTTGTGTTTCAAGAGAACCACAGAGCCCAGCAATAAGATCTGAGGCACAATAACTGCAGAAATGTGATGAGAAGAAATCCCCCATCAGCTTTTTATTTGTCAATAAAGGCCTTACACTGAAAGGAACTGAGGAGGTAACCTGACCGGCACCAATGAAAGTTCCATCAGCCACTGCGGCTGCTGTATATAGTAAACAGAGCTTTGAATAGCACCTTGCTGGGAGAAAAGAACACAAACAGACAGTGATTCCAGTGTGCCCGCAGACCCGAGGGCGTTTTTGTCCCTGGGTCTTATGCAACCCTTTGCTTTTCAAGGCACAAAGGCACTGCAGGCTGGGAAACTGAAACGGTACTAGAGAACCGGTCGTCTGAACAACACCTGCAAATTCTTGGCATCCATCAAACTAAGAGGCCGCAGATTTCACTATTTCAGACATTCCACAGTCACAGCAGGGTGTAAGGCATTTCCACGGCCTGTAGCAACGTTTTTATTAAAAGAAAGCTTTTCAGGGATAAAATTAAGTAGGGGAGGGAGTACATGATGTCGATACTTAAACAACAGCTCAGGCTGGAAGTACTGGTTTTGGCTCATTTTACTATTCTTTTGCCTTTGGAGGAGGGAACGATGGGGGTAAAGTGATCCAGAAGATTTAGTGAGTGTTTGTTCAGCTACAGGTTAAAGGAAAGGAGTATTTGTCAGCTAAGTGGAAGCAGCTTGTTCCGATGCAGTAACAGTGGTCATAGGACAATCCAAAGCTGAAACCCTATTCTAGTTTCATATTTGTACTCTGGCCAAACCACTAACATTCATGCATTAACATACGGCTGTAAGATCCAACAGTGATTTTAAGACAGAGTTGACTCAGAAGCCAGGCTGCAGAGAGGAGGGTAAATAATTAAAGCAGAAAGGGACACGCTGTCCAAACCTCTTCTCTGCCACTCCCCCCTGAAATCTTGCCAATCAGACCATGTGTCTCTGCAGCTCACACTTTCCAGATCATGACTTATTCATGCTCTTAGTAACCAGAGCTATTCAACCCAGAAAGCCTTGGAATGGAATCCTAGAAATCAATAGGATGGGTTGATTCAGACATACTGTAGCAGGGGCATATTGCTGTGGGCCAAACACCTAGTGATGCTGTAGAGAAACACCAGAGTGTGACAGAGGAAATCTGGATCGCTACATATTTGAAAGAGGAAAGGAGCGCCTAATGGCAGTGGGGTAGATCTGGGCATTTAGCTAAGGTAGCAGTAGCAGCCGTAATTAATCACTGAAGAACTACTATAAAGCTCTTTGACCTTCTGAATTTCCTCCAACTTTATTTCAAACAACTCAAAAGCACTTTAAGCATCAGTGCGGTGAGATTGTTTTTTTTCCCAAAGCAGTCATAAAAATCTTTCAGTTTTGATCAAGAAAAAAAAACAAAACACACTGCTCCATTTTTGTAAAGAAAACTGGAACATTAAATGAAACTACAAACTGTAAATCAGAAACTGAGACAGGGTCCATTGATCTCACCTCCATTACTAATAGCAGTGATTCCTCGGTGGAAGTCTTCAAAACTGATGACTCCAAGACCACTGGGATCCAAAAACTTTGTTAGATCCTTCACCTGAAAAGAAAAAAAAAATGATTTATAGCATCAACAAAGCAGCAGTAGAAAAAAAATTATATCATTTTCAGATTATGTAAATTATCTAAGCATTTTTTCATGAAATAATGCTACTACAGGTAAGTCATCAGCAAAGATCACATTGTAAACATCTTTCCATAAGATCAGGCTGTAAGATATAAAATGTTCAAACTCTACATCATTTCACTTAGATAGCAATATATTCTGATTACAGAGCAGAAAGTCACCAATAAAAGGCTGTTAGCCTCGAGAAGATCAGAATTTGCTGATTCTACTGAATTGGGTGTAATGGTGACATCATAAAAATATGTTTACACTGTTCAAAGGGCAAGGGCTTTAAACCAGTTACATTGGGGCAAGAAAACGGATGATAGACACATTTGAAATTTCAACAGTTGCATAAAAACAAGCTGCTAGGAAGAAGTCTCCAGAAGTGGAATTACCCAAAGAAAAGAACCATTCACACACAGCTGCCTGACTTCCAATTCCTGCCATAAACTGAGCACTGAAGAAGCAGAGGCTGCAGAAAATGGGTTACATAAGAGCACCTACATACTGCATCTTCCTTCCACCAGTATCCAGGCAACCGATCCCTACAGTTATTTTCTACATGGATATGGGAATTAATCCCCCAAAGACGCCACCTGGGAAGTCATATCTAACAACCTTTGAGGGCTTAAAGTATATTCATAAAAAAAAGGGGGGGGGGGGGGGGGGAATATTTAAAACCATTAGATTAAGATATAGCTCCCTAACAAACCTGAACCAAACATATGCCTCTCCTCTTCTAGGTTCCTTATATCAGTTACAAATAAAAACAAGCTGATCGCCTTAGCAACGCTGAGCTCCGACTCAAAGAGGGCAAAGGGCTTAAAATCCTAATAAATTAACAAGCAAAGCTTTTGATCTGCGTTTGGTGGTTTTAGGCTTCAGCTGGAATCAAGTGACAAATCTGCTGAAGTAAACTGCTTTAGGTTCAGTTTATATCATGTGGGCTAAATTAAGGGCTAAAACAAACCAAAGCAATGTATGACTGAGGTCAGCAATAACCGTCTGCATTTAGCACTTAGTTTTCCACCTTACAAGGATGAGTCAACATGTTCCTGTTCAGAAACACCTCTGCTGTGAGGTGAGAACATGACACCCTGGTGACAGTTTAGTTGTTTTTTCTTTATCAAAACAATCCGGTATAATTAGCATACAGTTAGACTAGCTCTTTTTCTATAGATACTAGGTCAGTTCTCTATAATGCAAAAGCTTCCAGGAAGCTCAACATAACAGTGTTAAGCAATTACAGTGTAGAAACCGACCATGGCCTACATCCAAGTTATTAAGAGAATACAGCAGCATCAGGTCCCACTACAACACAGCTGGGCATTTCTCCTGCATTTGAATTTAAAACCTTGAGGTAAATACAAGCTTTTTTGTGTCGCGTTTTGCCAATATAGCTGCGGGAATAGATGTCCCAGAGATATATGAAAGCCCAACAAATTTGCTTTCACAAGCAGATCATTTATGACCGTTACCAGGTTCAGCTTGGTAGGCGTATATGAAACTTTATTGAAAATGATTTAGGGAGTAAAATCGAGCACAACAGACAGGGAGACATAAAGAGTTGAGAAAGAAAGAGGGGATAGGAGCTTAGTGGAGAGAGAGACAGAAAAACAGAACACAGAAGTACTTCCTAGAAGTCTGCTTCCACACCTGTATGAGCTAAGAGGTGAAAGAAAACAGAAGATAACAGCAAAATGAAGACAACCAAAAAAAACATTAAAAAAAAAAAGCTTCCAGAGCAGCAGGTTTCCCTTAGATATTCATGTGTGGATGGCCAAACCTATGATGATTACACATTATTATTTAGGGTGGCCTAAATATGTAACTAGAGCTTAGCATTTAGTATAAGTGTGTATCCACAGAACCAAACTCAGGGGTGTGTATGCATGGGCATGCTCATGTATAAAGGATTTACAAAGCTTCTCCAGAAGGAAAATATGATTAACAGGAGGTGTGTGCAGCCCCAGACTTGCCCTACGGGGCCCAGGATCGATAGAGAGGAGATGCCAGCCCCAGAATCCCAAAGGCACACCAAATAACAGGGACACAGGGAGGGCAGACCTGGGTCAAATATACAACTATGTTCTTTTATTGTAACACTGTAGAGCTCAGTCACTGACTACATTCGTTTCCCCTTCATTTCATCCCTTTAACCTCTACTAAACAAGAAATTATTTTTTTGTATCTAGTTTTTAAGTCAAAATGATTACTTAATAAGTCTGGAATGATTTCTGGAAGGCCCTACATCTCAAAAAAATTTCATTCATAAATTTGTTTCCATTTCTGATTTAATTCACTACAGCTTTAAAAAACGTTCCCGTAAGCAAGGACTATAATTTTTTCCACCATTGATCCAACACCAGACTGTTAAAAAAGATGGTCCCTGACATTGTCTAACACTCTGGGGGCGCAGATGTACGCCTACTACTACAGCTGAATTAAGAATTGAATTTAAAATAGAGACACCAGATAAAAGCAGCATAAACCGTTTCATAGTGGTTAGGGTTTAAAAAGCCACAGATTTCCACTTCAAACTTGTGTAAACATATTTCAATTGAACTTCTCTCTTAACTACTGACTGTATGTGGCAGAGAGGAGAGGATGTCAAGTATTGGGGGGAAAAAAAACAACAAAGAATTACAAAAAATAAAATAAATCCTGCAATAAAAACAAAAAAAACAACCCATAACCACCAGGTATATTGTATGACATTGGCTTCACTTTAAAGTCACTAAACGCTGAAGCAAAGGTCGAAATGAAACAAACCCTAAATAAATGTCACCAAAGTAGACACCAATGTTTACTTACCTATCAAAGCCAACAAAGCTGAAGGTGCTTCAGGGTTTGGTTTGTTTAACACTGAAGCAATGATTAATGTGAACAATTCTAAAAAGGCTGCAAATGTTTAGGACTATAAACCAAAATGTTCTGTCAAATTATTGGTTTAGATCCCTTAAAATTACAATGGTTTTAGATCAATTCTCTACTCTGACGGTACAAAAAGTCTGCAATTTCAGATATCTAACATTTTTACAAAGGGGTATTATTTTAAACAAACCTGAATGTTAAGCTATTTTTTAATATAGGTAAGTTAAAGTTTGTCATTTATTTGAAGTAAACTGAGGGGATTATTCCACTAGTAAATGTTTAGCAGCTCAACAGCACAAAACTTCGGCTACAGTTCAGGGTCCATCCAGAAAGCACTGCGTCACAACAGAGGCGGTCGATTCTTTATCGCCCCCCCAAATCAAGCCTTGATTCCTGCAGTTGAAGGAGGGATGACAGAAAATGATCCCCAGAAAACATGCCTTACATCATCTAAAGCAGAGGTCTTCAACTTTTTCCAGGCCAAGGACCCCCAAACTGATGGCGAGATGACGCGGGGACCCCTTTATTATATATATTTTTCATGAAATTGTGTTATATCAAAATGTTTTATAGTAACTCTATTACATATGGAGTAATGTAACGAAAGTAATTTTTCCCTGGGATTATTAAAGTTTATATGATTCTGATTCCTGGTTGATGGGACAGGTGTTGTGAATGAAACGGTGCCCAGCTTGAAAGAGCTCCTGTGTGTCGCTGAGAGTGTGCATTGATGACTGAAAAACATCTTCTGCCTCCATTTATCTGTTTACTACAGTGTCCAATTCATGTTAATGTGTATTTAAAGACATTTCAATGAGTGGAAAAAAATCGCAGGGGGGAATATACAAAAAAAACCCTGCAACTATTGCAACCTCCAAGCAGTACCTCCACGGGTCCCCAAGGGGTCACGGACCCCCTGTTTAAGACCACGATCTAAAGAAAGCAACTCAGTTCTAAAGTTAAGAGCAGCATAGCCTAATGTTCAGAGGGCCAAACACAGGAGCAGGCAGCCTGACTCTCAGAACTGCACAAAAAGATAATTTAGCAGCAAATTATTCTACATCTCTGGTTACCATTTTTAAATATTTTACCACTGTTGCAAAATTATTTTGTTTACTGCTTTTGCAAGCAGAAAGATGACCGTTGTAAATAAAAGAAAGTTATACATTCACATTTTGTTTCAAATGTTTGTTTTGTTTTTTTTTTGTTAAGGTTATATGGTGAGAATGGCCCATTACAGAATAATATGTTCAGAAGTAAAATAGGCTTTTAGTTTTAGACGGATGAGAACTTAACTCAAATACAGCAGGCGGGTCTATTGGTTAGAGGAGCAGCAAAAGCATTGTGGTTTTTCTGTTTCCTCTATTTGTGTCTAATCGGTGCCGGGGCACGCCTGAATGCCTCCACACAGACCGCTGCTGTGCAAAACCTCACCGAGAGGAATAACCTGAAGCAAGAGGCTTCCAGAGAGGGGATTTCTAATTAGTTCCGACATGAAAATCTGATAACTATAATCAAAGGCTGGAGAAAATGACTGCAATGTTGGAACAAAAGGCAGAAAAAAATGTAAACCACTGAGGGAAAATAACTCAAAATAAACCACAAAGAAGATGTTAGTAACTATGGGACATTCCACTGTGGATTAGAGGTGCAGCGGGTGAGGGGGCATGCTGGCCGTAGTTGGGGCGGCAGAGACTAATCAAAGGGGAGACTCTGCCACAATTCAGTTCACTAGCTTTTGTGAATGGCTGAGGTCAAACTGGTGAGACTGGTGGCTGGAAAGGTTTTACCAGCAGATAAATGCACTAACGAGATGCAAGCTGCAGGATATTTTCCCGCTGCAGAGGGGGGCTAACTTTCATATGAGGGTCATCTACAAAAGATGAGGTCAAAAGATTGATCTACCCCCCAGCATCACCAAACTACAATAATTAGGGTTGTTTCACTCTTACAAAATGAACAGAAAATACAGATTTGTTCTGTTGACTATGCTGGTTAAGATTCTGTTGAGTAATTCATAGTAGAGCAATAAATTAACACATGTTGGACATCATGGGTGCTTTGGAAAAGCCTAACAGCAGACAAACAATATTTCAAATGCACCAGGAGGTTACATGATAATCATATTCGAACGAAATATTAAAAATAGAGTACGTGAAGCATAAATATAGCTTCCATAATTCCCAAACACATCCTGAGCTTAATTCCAAAGGAAACATTTGCATATTTATCCCAACAGAACCATCTCAAATTCATGCAAATACTGGATGAATAATTTCATGCAGCCTGACAGGTTACAGGGAAATTCGCAAAAAGATTTAAGATAGCATTTCCACCTAACAAGAAAAAAAAACATCTACTAAAGTGTAAATTATATTTGAAAGTTCTTTCACCACCAAGGGCTTGCTTTGATCAGCATCCATCAGTTTATACGAGTGTTCATTACAGTTCCCTATGATTTTCCTGAATCACTCGCCAACGTGTTTCTGCTACCTCAACTGCCCAAAGCATAATTTTGTAGATAGGACATGCTTAGGACATGCTTCGGTACTGATGTTATTCAAAACTGTTGTTATCATCAGATTAATGCACTACAAGGACATATGAGGGCAAAGCCTAGTCAAATATGAAGAGTGCTGTAGCAGCAAATGCCTCCCTCCTCTTCCATCAGCTGGAATAAATGTGAAAGCAAAGATGCAATCTCCGTGCAAAGTGCCAACCTTTTTTGCGGACCAGAGCGGACTCTGCTGTGATCTGCATGTCTGGATGAAGAGTGCCAAAGATGTCAGGCAGATTCCAGAAATTCTGAACAAAACTTGTTGGCCTTTAAATGTAAAAAAATAAAAAGAGAAAACACTAACATGCTTAAAATGTATGTTGTAAAACCAACACATTAACTATAGAACAAATAGTCAATCTCTTTAACAGACTAAGGTCTGACTTGTAGATGGAGGGAACCAAAAAAAGAAAGCATTTGGAACTAAAGCAGGACGACACCCATACAGAGGAAACGTAAATCCATACTTACCCCCCTCCATTTACATTAAACTATGACGGTAAAAGCTTTGCTGTCCAGAGATGCTGGTTGACACTACTGAGAAGTATGTCTAAAGTGGGGCCAAATTAGCCCCCCCGGTGCTTTCAACCAGGAGAGGGGATTAAAAAACTTTAGTGGGTGACCAAAGTGTGTTAAATAACTAGTTGAGGCTTAGGAATCCAATTCATCTCACTGAGTTTTAGCTTAAAAGTCTGATTGTTAGCTGGCTAGTTGTTTTTATTTTTATTTTAGATTAGCCAATACACCAACACGAGTCACATCATGTTACACTGACAACTAAATAAAAACGCTGTTACCGAGTCAGGGAGACACAGTTAAGACTTTCCTCGAATGTGTTAAAACTCAGGGGAAACAACAAAATGTCATTATTTTGTGCCTTTCGTTTATTCTGGCTGAAGGAGAGAAAAATCCCTTTCAAAAAATAAAAAGGCAGAGCAGAAAATAGCAAAGATGTTATATTTCCTACCATCTTCTGTAGCATAAAATGCAGGCTTTAATTAATCTGAGGTGGTAGGTATAAACAAGGGGGCGGCCATTTTCTCTGTCCTAACCGTGCTAATCATTATTAGTTTCAGATGTCATATTAACAATCTGTTTTACAATAACCCTTCAAAAATCTGTGTGATTTTATCCAGAATATAAATAACATCAACTAATAAGGCAGAAAGGCTCAAACATTTTTTTTTTTGTTTGGAATGATGTTCTATCTAGCAGTATTATGATTCTCAAAGAGAGAATTAAATGAGAGTTGCTTACAAAAAAAAAAAAAACAACAAAAAAACAAAATCAGGTGGGTCAAAGATTTTCAAAGTATCAAAGATATAAAAAACAAAACTTAAATCCTTACATGAAGCTTTGTTTTAGATTACATACATTTTCTCATTGCCTTTCCAAAATCTGCAATATCCTCCATATTACTGTAAATTCAGCCACAATAACAAGGGAAATGAAACTGAAGATCGTGTGACCTGCTAGTTTTGATTTGAAGCCAGCCTAAAATAAGCAGGTATTTTACAGATTTGGAGTAATAAAAATAAATTTAGTCTGATAAAAAAAGAAGAAATGGCTGAGGGCAGTAGATGGGAAGATTAATCCTTGTCACACCGTAAGAGATTATTCCAGAGCACGGAATGAAAGGAAAAGATGAGTCTTTGTCAGGAGACATATTAAGAAGTGTTGGGCCTGACTCTATTCATGACTAACAATATACTTGGCAGATTTATCTGAACTTCAACCCAGATTGTAACTTTAAAAAAAAAATTATATATATATATATACCCTGCTAATAATAACCGATTTCCCAAATATGCAGCAGTATTATCAGTCCAAAAAAAAAAAAAAAAGAAAAAAAAAAAAAAAAACAATAAAAGATTTTAAATATTACATGTAATGATGTAGATATTTGGTCCAATAAAACTGCAGAAAGCCACTGATTAATTTTAAGAGACTGAATAAAACAGACTTCTTGCAGTAGAGCCTTTAGACTCACTCAGAAATCAATAATAAATGGAGCTGTGGATCATCTTACATGGCGCTCCACTCTACATGCAAGGCTCAGACGAGGCCCTGAAAAGAAAATCAGCACAAACACAAAGCTCTCTCACCTGATCCGCCCCATAGGCGGCCGCAAACTCCATAAACTCCTCAATACGAACAAAGCCGTCTCCATCTTGGTCTAAGGCGTCGAACACAGCTTTCAGCGGAGAAGCGTCTTCTTGTCTCGTATTAACAGCTGGGACCACTGGTAGTGAGTCATCTCTCACCATCTCAGAGGGAGGGATCTTCTCCACAGTCTGTTTGCTCATCCACCCAGCCTCTGGAGAAGAACTGTTTATGTCCTGAACTGGCGGTTTAAAAGACGCCACCTGATTTGGCTCTGAAAGCTCAGGCGGGTTTGTGTCCACCAGCCTCTCCTCTGCTCTTGTACTGAGAATGGTATCTCCCTTCACAGCCTCCTGCTGTTGGAAGTTGCATAAGTCTTCTTGAACCTCTTCTCCAGTCAAGCACAGATCCAAAGCCATTTCCTTCTGGTCTGACTGAGTTTTAGCATCAAAGAAATTTTGGTTTTCCATCAAATCCAGAGAAACGTTTTCCACAGATTGACTCTCACTGGCGAGATCATTGGGAACGCAGGCATCCTCATCCACAGGCAGTGTCAGGAAAGAGGGTCCATCCAACAAACCCAAAGCACGCGACTCATTTTGAGTTTGCTCTTCTGACGGACTAGGTCCAAAAACAGGAGCTTCTGCTGAAACGCCAGTCAATACATTTGGTAAATCAGGTGAGACAACAGAGGAAGGGGTGGCAGGGCACAGGCTGCCGTCAAAATCTGGCACCTCTAAATCCAACAAAGGCACAGGTCCTCCAAAACCCTCCGAAGGTTTGCTGATGTGATCAGGCGCATGGCAGTTCTCAGATAAACCTCGCTCAGCAGCGCTGCAGGTTATAGGCAGATCAGTCACTTGATCAGGGAATAAACCTTTGTCTCTGGTTTCAGGTGATAAAGTCTTCCTGCTCTGTGAGGGAGGGAGATCTGCCTGCTGCACTTCAGGCAGCTCGTGTGCAACAACCTGGGGGTTTAGCTCATTTGAGGAATCCTGAGAGAGACCGGAAAGTACATCCGAAAGATCAACCAGCAGAAATTGATCTCCTTCATTAGATTCAGAATTCCTCCTTGAGATATTTAGAGGAGAGGTTGATGCACTGAGGCTTATTAGGTCACCCTGATCATTGGGCGCATCAGAGTTCTCAGCAGGGGACTCTGGTTCTAAAGTCAATTCTTTACTAGCAGAGCTTTTCTCTATTACATCAGCCAAAGCTGGAGAGAAGAGCCATGACAAAGTACTGTCAGTAATTTCATCCAGTCCTTCAAAATTTTCTTTGAAAGTCAAACCTTGCAAGTAGGAGTTAGTTTGGGAAATGCTAGGCTGTCCTTCAAACTTTAAATTCTCACAAGAAAAGGCAGAGACTTGGAAGAGGTCTTCCAGTGCAGCAGGATTTTCCACACATTTCTGGAGAGTTTCATCCTGAGCTCCTTTCCTGAAGTCCAAACCCACCTGACCAGTCTCGCTCGGACTAAGCACACCTCCACTGTCTGAATTCCCTGTTTGAAATCCCAGAGGAAATGGCTGCTCTGGCTCCCACTGAGTGTGCCCCAGAGGGCCAGATACAACTGTTGGCTCCATGAACACCGCCCAGAAACTTATCTGACTGCAGTGGTTAGGAAACAGCTTTTTAGCTTCACTGCCATGATGTTATTTGGGACTTTGCATTTCTAGTAAATATCAGAAATCTCTTTACGCCATCAAAAGAACAGAATATCCCAAATAAAACATTAATATCAGTGGTTTTGATATAAACAAGTAGTATAAACCAACAAATCTACAATGTCACCTTAAAACAGAAGACACGTTCAGTGGATTTTAAGTTAACAATGGTGGCATTTGACTCACAATGTGTTTTTCTGTCATGGCAGGTTCGCTGCTGGGTGTCAGACTCAGCACATCCAATTTCAGCAAACTTTCACTGTTAAACCACCTAAAACATGGGAACCATCCACCTCTGAATGAGTAAATAACCTCAGCTGCGGGTGTTTGTCAACATTAGCTATGAAGCCGACAGAAGAATCCACGTAAAAAGCTGTTAATTAAAGCCGTAACGAGCTCCAGCTGTTGGGTTTAAATCTAATCTAAATGTAGGCTGAAGCTGTGTTTGGTCAATAGGATCTAAAGAGGGCTGCTAAATGCTAACTCCTCCTTCCAGCATCTACCTTCCGGCCGTCGGTCGAGGCAGCTGTTAGCCGGCTAGCTACAGAATTAGCTCACTAGCCAACTGACACGATAAAGAGTTCAGCCTTTTAAACCCGTATGAGAAAAAAAAAATGTTGGTTTTGTCCGTTCGGTATCAGGTTAATCCGAGACTTATAGTCCAATTTTATGTCTTCATTTCGTTTCTCTTTTTTTTTCCTCCCTCGCAGCGTCAGTCCACCTGTGTCAGTCACAGGCCAGGAGAAGAGTGACGAGTAGAAACCGTTATTTCCTCCCTTTAATTCCAGCGTCGTTCTCCGTATCGCCGCTTCTCGTTTAGTTAGACATAAACCGAACCAGTGGGCAGTTCAAATAAGACCAAATGGCTGAATTATAGGAGGTTCGCTCGGTCGATGTTGATCACAGACACCGAGAGCTCTCGCATCAGCATCAGCAGCGTCCCATCCTCCTCCTCCTCCTCCTCCTCCTCCTCCTCCAGCCGCATACACTCATCGCTGACGTGTGACGCAAGCGTACAAATACCCCGCAGTGTCAGAGGCTCTAGGGGAAACGGAACCTTTTTTCCACTCACCATATGACTTTAAACCAGACTATATATATTTTTTTGCTGTATCAGGTAGTTTAATTTAGGCTTGAACTATATCAGTGGCGGTTCTCAAATTTCCAAGGGGGTCCAGGGTGGGTTTAATCTAATATTTGATCAGATATTTGATATAGAGAGTGAATATATATATGTGTATATATATATATATATATATATATATATATATATATATATATATATATATATATATATATATATATATATATATATATATACATACATGTGTGTATTTGTGTATATATAGAGAGAGAAATGTATATGTATAGATATCTATATCTATATAGATATATAGGGGTATATATACATATATACAGATATAGATACATATATATATATATATATATAATCTTTCTCTCTCGCTCTCCCTCTCTCTCTATATATATATATAGATATAGATATCTATCTATATCTATAGATATAGATATCTATAGATATATCTATAGATATAGATATATATATATATGTAGGATATATATATATAAATTATTTTTGATCTGATATGATCTGGTATGATATTATATTGAATCGCTGTTATTAAAAAAATATTTTGTTTAGCTGTTACCTGAGTTATTACTGTGTGATGGTGGAACATATTGATATTTGTGTTATATCAACGATCAACTGCAAATTCCTGATAATAGTTAATGAAGACTGTAAGGACAGTGAAAAAACAAATATATTTTATTAAAATAGATCTCTGGTTTTACTGAGCTCTCATATGAGAATTGATTTAGATTAGAAAATACACTTTTTTAACACAGGTCCAGCTGCTTGTATTGCTTGGCAATTAGTTGATGATAGAGATTAGTAAAATTTTCTGTTAAAGATTTAATTTGTGAAAAATCTGAATTTATTTTTCACCAATGTAGTTCATGGGCTTCCATAGCTGAGATTGAAATCAATTCATCCTTTTTTGTTCTTTGATGTGTACTAATAACTAATAAATTATCTCATTATGTAACACCACTAACTTCAAACATTTTTTATTTTTATTTAGGTCATATCCTAATGGGAGTTATTAAAATAAAATCTATTTTTTAAGGTAATGTGTGTCATTTGTGATTTTTGATCTGGAACAAGTGTGCAAAAAAAAAAAAAAAAAAAAAATTGAATCATATTGGGTAGAAAAATTCAGGATAGATTTTTAAGCCATAAAAAAATGTATCTGGTTAGACAAAGAAATAAATTATGATAAATACAAAAACAGAAGCAATTTGTAAAAGACATGAAAAAAGGACATGAACACATATTCATACTGATTGCAGAATCCTTATTACCGTATTTCATCTTCCTTTATATTCTGGCATATTTGAGTTCAGCTACTGCTGTTTGATAGAGTAAATGTTGTTGAATCTTCCATTTCTTGCTTTAGTTGATCTGTAACATCTTCTTAACAGGAGCATTTAATACAGACCATGAACTAAGTGACAAGTGTTATTTATTTTATGAGTGAGGGAGGGAAAACTCTGAATTTCTTTAAGTGTGAGGAGTCGGCAGCCAACAACCTTTAACTACAGTAATTACCCACTTTTCTCTGGACAGATGGAGTACTAATAAAAGGAGAACAGGATTTTCTGGGATCATGATTAGATGTTATTTTTTATAATCATTCTCAAGAATTATATGTGATAATGCAACTTTATTACTACATCCAATAACAATTTAAAAGAAATTAAGAATAAAATGCTTTTAAACAATTGCAAACCCTGATATATTATTATGAGATTGTAAGCCACTGGTAGGTTGGATTACAGCATTAATTTAAACATGGACAGTCCTGTATATATATTTTAATAGAGCATCTAAATATCACTGCTTTCTTCTGTAAGATGATGATAAAAATCCAAAAAATTCATCCAAGATATCATGAAAAAAAGTGGATTTTTTTGGATCTGCTTATTCCTTTTGGTACTACTTCCAGATCCTTGAAGGGTCCATGTTTATCTATTTAAATAATTATACTCAGTTTAAAAAGAAATGGAATTTCAGGCCATATTATTCAGGAATAAGAGAGATTCTGCCCACGAAAAAACATTTTTAGTTTAAAATGTACGAATCAACCTGAAAAGAAGTGTAACACCTAAGATACTGGCTGAAGCTGGTAAGAGAACATTTTTTTATGCAACGTAAAACAAGTAATGAACACAAAGGAGCCTCTAAGCAAGGAGGAATCTGTTACAAAACAATATAAAAATACAGTTATAAGTTTTGAAAAAAAAAAAAAAAGTTAAAGACATCACTATGGTTACAGCCTCACCATTCGTGGCCGTTTTCCTTACGGCAAAGTAACGTGGAGCCCCCTGGAACCGAAATGTGACACAAAAGCCACAGAATCAGTGAAAAGATGCATGTCTTCCTTCTGGTTAACTAACAGTTGGTAATCAGCTAGATTCTGCTTTCTCTTAGGATGTAACTGGATCCTCTAAATAGTTCAAAAATACATATCCTGTTAAGTCTCACTGTATCACTTCTCCATTTCCCAAAATGGAAAAAATATACAAATGTCTGACCACCTTTAAAGAAAGGATGCGCCAAGTTCAGATCTTTAAGCATTGAAATCACAGTTAAAGGTTGAATTAGAAGGTCCTCAAATTATAAAATAGTCAAGATTTAAATATTTGACTAAATTTATTGGATATTCAAGTTTGATTGGTTATTGTTGTTAATGTATAAATAAAAATCAACATCTAATGTTATATATTTACAACATTCTGGCACCCCCTTCTGACTGTTCATTGTACTGCACGTCAAGTAAATAAAATTTTACCTTCTGAAACTGACCTAGCTTCTCACTATTAATCAAGTCATCCTTTTGAAGAAATGTTTACAGGCTTTCTGACAAAGGCTAAAAGTAAAATGGTAATTTCTTTGATTTTGCATTTTACTTTTATAAAGATTCTCCTGATTTACCTTCTTTGCCCAAGTTTAAAGTCCTTCAAACAATAAATCATATCTACTTCTCCAGCATTTTTAATAAAACAAAACAGTCTATTAAAAGTAAGCCAAATGTTAAAATCAAGTGAAATAAAAGTAATTCAGAATGTTCTAAAAAAAACAATCTAACTGGTAAAAAAGGATATCAAAACTTCCCTTATGACGGTTCTATTTAATTTAAGCTTTAATTCTATTTAATTCTAGATTAAATTGATAAGTTAGTAAAATAATAAATTGATTAATTAATACACTTTTTGTTGCTTTAATTAAAAACAATAAGTTTCAGTTATTAACAACCTGAGAAGGATGGGTGGAAAAAAGAATGCTGTCATAAGCAACAACTGGTTAGAAAGGCTTTTATTGATAAGTGCAATAAAAGTGAGGGAAATATTTTACAATACTGTCCACTATGATGTTTATCAACAATTCATTCATTCATTTGTACCATTATGAAATAATATTTATATATTTAATTTGTTTTCTAAATCTAGCAACAGACACCTAAGGCACCTATAGGCTTAATAAACATTTGCTATTGTCCAAAAACAGCATCATTATAATAGAAAGGTCCTGATTTCTCCTGATCACTTGTCCTTCCTTTTTTCTGGTGACCAGTAACCTGTAGGAATACAATAACCATGATTAATAAATATCCCCACTTCTGCTTGCTTGATGCTAAATCAGAGACAGCATCATCAGTCACACTGTTTCTCCACATGGATCTCCAGCTGTACCTCCTCCTACACCCCTGGGCCAGGAGGAGGACAGGAGGACATGAGAGCTCCTGCTCAGAGCTTAGCAGATTTAGAGGAGGCTATACCCAACAGCGCAGAGATGTCATTGGGCGAGGTCAACCACGCCCCGCCATCCGCCACCAGGACGGCCCCGGTCATGTAAGAAGAGGCTCGACTGGCCAGGAAAAGAGTGCAGTGGGCCATCTCTGTCTTGTTGCCAGCTCGCTGCAGAGGAATGGACTGGAAAGAACCTGCAGCCTCTGCACCAGAACCACCTGGGCATTCAGTAAAACATTAAAAGACATTCATAAAATCCCTTCACAAATTACATTTCAATGTAGGGCTTTTAAACTCACTATGATTGAGAAAAATGTATATAAAAGTTTTCAATATTTACCAAGTCGCCGAAAACCCTCAGTACCAGAGATTGGTCCTGGGGCCACAGCATTGACCCTAACTGCACTGGGCCCCCACTCTACAGCCAAGTGTTTGGTCATGGCATCTAAAACACCAGATAAGCAACATCTAGTAATCTGTGTCTGATTTTTAAATAAATGCAGAAAATGATATAAAAGAAAAGCTCTCACCATTTGCAGCTTTGGCAGAGCCAGCATGCACCTGAAGGGCCTGTCCTCGGTACGCCAGCGTGGCAGAGATGTTGACTATGTTACCTCCATGATCCTACACACAGAGGAAAGCATGTTTAACATCACATCAGGGGATCTTCAACTCTTAATCTAATGGTAGCAAAACATTCAACAATTCAAGCTATCTACTGCCCTCTATTGGTGAGAGTGAGAAGTTCATGGAGTCTACCTCAATGACAGTATTCTTTAACATCAAGCCGCAACCTTTGCTGAGATTACCGGTGAGTGAAGATAGAAAACAAAAACAGCGGAAAAAAACTAAAAGTACATAAAAAACCAAAACAAAATAGAAAAAAGGCTAAAAGAAAACAATATTTAAATAACCGCTTTTTTCAAACTATGCAACAGAAAACTGCTGTTTGTAAACTATTGTGATCACAGAAGGTTGCCTGTCAATTTCCTGCATTGTAAAAGCTTTTATTTTATTTTATGCATTTATTAGGGCAGATTCTGACAGATAGACCAGAATAATGTGTTAATAGATTCTTATTTCTGCTCATGGTTATTTACGGCACCAGTTATTTTTATCCATTCTA